TCAATCGTAGCCTTAGTCTGTATAGCCAAGCTGAAAAATTATCCTCATTCAACTTTGGGATGGGGGGAAGCCCCTCCTCCTCTCCATTGTTAAAAGGAGAGAAAAAGAAAAAATCTGAACTGAGCCTTTTTAAAAATGTGCAAGCAGTTTCTTGGCTGTAAGATCAAAGAAACCTCCCGGGGTGATACACTGGGCCCATAACCCAATGTTGGGGTTGTTAAATGTTACTACAAAAACCATGAGGAGGAGAGAGGATTCATTCCTACCTCATGGAGAGCCATGAGGAGAAGAGAGGATTCTTTCCTCCCTCATGGAGAGCCATGAGGAGAAGAGAAGGAAAATGAGGGAAACAGGAAAAAAGGCGGGATCCAAGCCCGTCCCACACAAAGCAGCAAAGCTAGGCCGCAGCGAAGCCACCCCTCGCTTCTTGTGCTCGTGTGAGACAAGCTTGGTTGAAACCCCATATTTTCCAACACATCTAACATCCTCCATTGTGTTTTCCCCCATTGTCTCCAGGGCTGCTAGACTGGCCCAATTTTCTCCACTTACAACATTAGGACACTGTATTGTCTGAAGACCAGGTGACTTGGTGCCTGTTTATTGCTCTTAGAGTGATGTTTACTAATTTTCATTTGACAAATATTTGTAGGATGTGAGGTTTCTGACAGAAGAGACTACAACTTTGCTTTATTAGTGCATGCAAGCATGGTGGGGCTGGGCCTGGCTCCTGCCAGGTGGGGAAGGGTGCACAAGTGGCCCTCGAGGCACAGTGTAAGTGTGGTGGGAGTGGCTGCTGCTGGATGGGGGAAGGGGTGTGAGTGGCACACAAGCGCAGCAGGGCCAGCTTCTGGTGGGCAGGGAGGGTGTGCGAGTGGCCCGCGAGGCATGGCATGAGTGTGGTGGAGTCAGGGGTGGCTGCTGCCAAGTGGGAGAAGGTGTGCAAGTGGCCTGTGAGGCATGGCATGAGCATGGCGGAGGCTGGGGTGGCTGCTGCCAGGCGGGGTGTGTGTGTGAGGAGTGACTGCGTCCTTCCCTGCTGGCTTCCCCATTGACTTTTCTTGTGAAAAGCCAATAAGGAAGGTCCCAAATGGCAATCTTGTGACCATGGGAGGTTGCAACTGTCATAAGTGTGAGCTGATAGCCAAGTGCCTAGTTGTGATCACATGACTACAGGGGTGCTGTGATGACCAGAACTTCAAGAACCAGTTGTAAGTCCCCCTTTTCAGCACCATTGTATCTTTGAATGGTTGCTGAATGAATGGTTGGTAACTGAGGACTATCTGTATTTGAAATACATATGGTGTTATATTTGGTTTGCCTTAATGTTCATATTTGTTTACTGGTATGGCTGTTAAGTTGTAAATTAATTTTATTGAATTAAATTCTGTATTTTTTTCTGATTTGTATGATGCCATGATAAAGATGCATAACACATAAACTTTATCATCATAATCAATGGAAATTGTGCAGCAACCCTAAATAGTATCCTTTATAGCACAGCAGTCTGCATAAAATATTTCTGGTTTAAATTATGCAGAACATTGGATCCTGATTTAACATTCCCATTTCCCATTTTCAAGGTTTGTGAAGCATGTGTCAATTAAAATGATCTCACACCCTCATCTCAAATCAAATTGTTTGATGAATTAAATTAAGTTTGTCTATGTTGTTTTAAGGTTAGATCTTCTTGTTATTCTTCTCCTGGTCTGTCCTAGAGTTACTAATTTTAAGATAAAAGGCTACTAAGAGCTAAACAGTTGTTAACTTGCAGTTGTCTTTATCTACACAAGTCATTTTTCTGCTTCAGACAGAATTAGTTTCAAGCATGCAATATGATAGAAAATTTAAGATGCATGTTTTCTCCATAACACAAATGAGTGATTTCCTAAAGTCTACCTGATTGTTTGAATTAATTTATATTGCACAATAACATGGTAGATTTAAAACTTGGACTTGGTTTAAAACCATCTATTCCAGTCTGTTGCATCAGACATAGCAGGAACAACACAATGAGGAGCTGACTTCCACCTTCAGTTATGTACACTTATGTTCCCTGCAAAGCCACATTGCAGTATAGTAAATTTAGTTAAATTATATTTTGGACCAGACATATATCCCATTTTTTTTCAACTTATACATAAGATTAAAACAAAACTGCCATTTTGAGATGGCAGAGAAAACACCACTAGGGTTAAACAATTATACCAATTTGTACCTACTATTCAGTCTGCAAATTGAGATTTGCACTCAATAAGCCAACAAGTCTGGAAAACTCAACGGTGGCCACGGGATTGGAAAAGGTCAGTTTACATTCCAATTCCAAAGAGGGGCAATGCAAATAATGCTTAAACTACTGCACAATTGCACTCATTTCACATGCTAGCAAGGTTATGCTCAACACCCTACAAGCTAGGCTTCAGCAGTACATGAACCGAGAACCGGATGTACAAGCTGGATTTCGAAGAGGCAGAGGAACTAGAGATCAAATTGCCAACATTCGCTGGATCATGGAGAAAGCACAAGAGTT